CGGGAGGCGCGCCGGGCTGCGCGGGGGTGGCCGGCGAAGGCGCGGCGCTGGGCCCGTCGACGCCGAGCTCCCTCCGCCTTGATGGAGCCTCGATGGGGAGTCTTCGCGGAGGGGTGTCGTCGGCCTGGCGGTGAGGCGCAGCCCTGGTCGGTTTGGGTGAGCGGGAGAGCTGCTCCCCGCGCGCTCTCCGACAGCCTACCTCGCAGGGGTGTTGTGGGACGGAACAAGGGAGCGGCAGGCGCAAGCCTGGAGGAAGGGCACGGCGCGCAGCTAACCGGCAAACGGGCCACGACGCAAACAAGAGCCTGTTGTCTGGAAGTAGGGGCGGGAGCCGCGACGGAAGAGGCTTCCTGGGCACCGGGGGCTCCCCGACTCCAGCTGGCTCGTCTGCTGAGGCCCCCCCGCTGCCTTGAGGGTGGCCCCCAAGCCGGTGCTGGTGCGGGATGTGGGAGGGATGAGGGTAGGATGTCTTCTGACCGAGCTGCCTTGAGAGCTGACCTGCCTCTGCAGCTCTCCCAGGCACGCCTTTGTGGAGACTGAATCCTGGCTGGGCTTGGTTAGGGCTGCGGCCGGGCTTTGTGATTTTTTAGGCAGCGTCTCGATTGTTGTTCTTGTCCTAGCCTTCAAAGGATACTCTTTTAGAGGTTTTAACTCTGTGTTGTGTACTCACTTTGGAATTATTGGGAATTATTTAAACAAACGTTAATGCTTATCATCCCAATCCTGTAAACACTAATACTGGAATGAATGCAGCTGATCGGGTTGGTCATTTGCGAATCTCCCTTCATGCTGTCTAAAACGTGACAAGCTCCTTATTTTCTTGACTTCTAGATGAAGATGATAGGCACAAATGTGGTCGCTGCCAGTCCGAGTTCACCTCTTTGGAAGAATTTGTGCAACACAAGTTGCAGAAGCTTTGCCAGAGACCTCAGGATGCAACTGCAGCAGCAACCCCGGCAAGTTTCCCAAGGCAGTGTCTTAGCTCTGGTTGCCAGGCCAATTGTCTCACTGGGGGCCAGGGTTGGGGATGCAAGCTGGGTAATCAGAGCTTTTGTGGGCTCAGGTGTGTAGCAATTGCAAAATATCTCAGCTCCTTCTTATAAGGAATAAGAGCTTATGGGAGTGCTCTTGGTTTAGGAGATGCTCTTTTACCACCTCCAACGTTGTAAATTTGGTAAAAAGATACTTTGGATCTTTGTGGAATATCACCACCACAGGTATTTTCATACTAAAGCTTCATTTGTTCCATCAGGTGATTTCATCTGTTGAAGCGCCGATAACTGTAGCTCATATAGTTGTTGAAGCTGCTCCGATAACAGAAGAAATCAGCAATGCCCCTGCAATTGTAGGTGGGTCCACCAACTTCTTAAAGTTGTTTTAGTGCATCAGTAAGCCTGTTGCAGCTGTTTAAGGGGGAGGGGACATAACAGAGGAAGAGTATGTGCTTTTCATGTAGAAGATCCGAGATTCAGAGATTCCTGGCTTCTCCAAGCATTAGGAAGGAATCCTGCTTGAAATGGTGCTGCTGTCAGTCAGTGTTGGCAGTATTGGATTAAAGGGACAAATGATCTAGTGCGCTGTGCAGCAATTTCATGTGATTTGGAATAAATCTAATGGTCTTAAGAAGTCAGGTGCTCTAAAGAATAAATAACAGGTTAAAATTTTGGAAGCTGTTAGTGGGGAGTAAATTGGAAGTTTTCACAATAGTGAAAATAAGCAGTGGGATTCATCACGGTTTTGTATTTGATACAGTACTATTCAGTACTCATAGACTGGTTTTGCCAGCATGCTCAGCAGGTCAGTTAAAGAGCTTTTAGTTGCATTTGCATGTGCTAAGCTTTGTTAGTTTTAACCTGCTTGTTAATGTAGCTTAGTTATGCAACCCTAGTGTATTTGATTAGCTTATGGTTCAGTGTATTGTGCACATTTATTAATTATTTATTTATTAATCAAATTTGTGTAGCGGCCCATCTCTCAGGAAAGCAACTCTGGGTGGCTTACAACAGTCACATCCAGAAAATCCATTAATTCAGGAATATAAACAAACTAAAATAATCTGGGGTTGGTAGAGCAGTAAGGTAAGCATATTTACTGGGTATGGCAATGTTCAGAGTGCCAATAAGTGGGCTGCAGAGCATCAGAAAAAAAAGACAAATCAATTGTAATTAATTGCAAATGATGCCCTTAACTTTGGAACAAAATAGGATAAGAATATCATTGACTAGGTTCACACATTATTCTAAGCCTTGAATTCCTTTAGGAAGCTACAGTTTGTCCAGAACGTTCAGGGTAACATTTTGTATGTAACACCACTACTCTCAGAGCTGCAGTGGTTACCAGTTGGCTTCCAGGTGTTACTCAAGATGCTTGTTGTAATCTTTACAGTCTTTCATGGTTCAGGATTTAGCTGTCTCTGGGACTCATCCCTGCCTGACGAGATCTAAAAGTGAGAGCTCATTCCGGGGTCCTGTTCTCAGGGAATGTCATCAACAGAGACTTTATGGGTGGGCTTTCTCCATTATTGTCCCCCTTCTCTGGAATAGTATCCCCTGCAGATCAGGTTTCCCTCTGTTTCTGGGGTCCTGTGAAGCTCTCAAGACCTGGCTGTTCTGGAAAGCCACTGAAGAATTGGATGGTTCCATCCTATACGGGAATGTTTGGTTCTTAAAAGATTTTTCCCAGTGCTAAGCTTTTTTTTTTTTTTTGAACTGATAGTTATGGCTGCTTTGTTATTGTTCTGTGGTTATTGTATTTTTAATCCTACTTTTGACTGAGGTATGTAGTCCACTCAGAGTTTGTTGTTGACTGAAGAATGAATGAATAAATTAATACGGTTGATTTGGTCTGGGCTTCACATAATACATGAATTCAGTCTAGATGTAATAAGCCATGACTTGATATTATATGTGAATCCAGCAGTTGGTTAGATTGAACTAATAGTGGCTATACACTGGGAAAGAGATTTTGGGATTGTGACTCAGTAAAAACATGTTCTTCACATAAAGTTGCAGCAAAAAGGGAAAAGTCATGGTATGAATTATTAACATAGATAATAAAGTTCTTATATAAATCTGTGTTCTGGTCACATCAGTTGCACTTTGTTCTGCCAGCCCTAAAAGGATAACAGGAACTGGGAAAGATTCAGGAAAGAGCAATCAAAATGATTATTTTTCCCTGCAGAAAAATAAAGCATTTGAAGCTTTTTAATTTAGAAAAAAAGTGTGACAGAGCATCCTTAGATCGGTTTATGACTAAAATGGAGCGAATGGATAGAAGTCATCCAGGTCCTTTTATCATACTAAAATTTGAGCATCCGGCGCAACCAGTTTCTGGAATAGGATGGACCAAACTGCTTTTCAGAATACAGAATAATGGTGTGACTGCTAGCTGGGATGAAATGTATTGGTAGATTCACAGAAGGCTGTTTTGCCATGTCCACTAAATAACATGTTTTCCTGTGATCCAGAGTAAGATCGTATGAACATAGCGTGGAAGTGCTTTCTCTACCCACAAACCTTTCCAGTTCTGCCAAGGCCTTCAGAGGGATTTGCTTCAGCCTGAACTGTAATGGCAGAAACCACTCCATCATGGAGCCTTGTCCAATATGGCCACCCAAAAAATGTATTTAGCTGGTTATGAAAAGTGCTCTTATCTAAAGAACGTAACTGGCTTTGGGTCTCTTTGCAGGTAGTGGGCATATCAAGGAGGTTGTTGTAGCTGCAGATCATGTCTTTGAAAGCCCCAATGGCCCCAGTGATGAAGATGGCGGAATCACTCAGAGTAATCCAGGAGGCCCAGGAGAAGGTGCCTCTCTGGAACTTATCAAAGTTAAACTGCTGGTTAATAAGGAAGGTCGTTATGTCTGCGAACTGTGCCACAAGACGTTTAAGACGGTATGTTAATGGTTTTAGCAAAGTTCATGGTGCTGTTGGATAAATGGTAAATAAAATGATGCTATTGAAATACAGTATTTGTAATTCTTGCCTCTATGGGTAAGAAAAGGTAGCAGTGTTATAGTTTGAAGTGTCATGTTGATTTCCTTAAAACTAGCCTGTGTCTGGCAGCACCACAAACATTTATATCCTTCGGTTCTAGGCCAGCATTCTCAAGGCTCACATGATCACTCACAGCAGCAGGAAGGACTATGAGTGTAAATTATGTGGGACATCTTTCAGGACCAAGGGCTCGCTAATCCGACACCATCGCCGTCACACAGGTGAAGAGAGGGTTATTGCATGTAGCAACTCAGTTATTAAGCAGCTTTCAGAAATAGGACTAAAAAGCACAGGGGAAGTCATTGGAAGTTAAATGGTATTTGAACAGCTAGGATGAGGGCTCTGAATAAATAGATTCCAGGATTAATCCCTGATGCTTAAGCATTACTTTGCTACCCATGAGCAGTTCTCCTGTTGTCTAGAAGAGCCACACATAGGTCTGGTCTCACAGCAGGCCCATCTAGTTCCTTTTCTGAAGGCTTGGTGACAGAAACTTCGTCTGGAGACAGTGGGGCCATGTTCTTTCTTAAAGTAACTTTTCTTTGGTTTCTCTAGATGAGCGTCCTTACAAGTGCAAGAAATGTGGGAAAAGCTTCCGGGAATCAGGAGCCTTGACTCGTCATTTGAAATCCTTGACTCCTTGCACTGAGAAAATCCGTTTCAATATGAATAAGGAAATAGTTGTTGGCAAAGAGGACGCAGCCCCAGGTCAGTAAAAAAGTTTCTGGACCTCCCCTGCTCATCCGTGCTGCTTGCGGAGCGTGTGTCTGTGAGATGGCATAGAACTGTCGGGTCCTCTCCATCTCACGCGTATGTGAACTGATACAGTTTTGCGTGAGGTGAGGTACAGAAGATGCATGTGATAATTTGGAATATCGCTGAATGAGGAAACATTAATTCACAAAAGAAGAGAAGGGAAGAACTGCCTGATTAGTATAATGCCTGATAGAAAAGGCATTTTATCATATTAAGAATGAAAGGTGGTGCTAGGGAATGACGATTTGGACAGCTGCACAGATGAAGGGAAACCTGCCTGCTGGTGAGAATAGGCAACATGGCGCAAACTCACAGATAAAGTAGGTCCATTTGGACTGAGCATATGTTTGGAAAAGCCAGTAAACTTTCTGGATCTTGACTATCAGAGCCTTTGGTCTCTACACCAGAAACGGACTTTGAGGGTCTGTTTTCTACTGGTTTCCATAAAGGAATGCTAAAAGAACTGGAGTCCTAATCATGCCATTTATGGAACGAGGCTTTAGGTTCAGCAAGTGCTTTGTCAATGGATAAATATCCTTCAGGTGACTAGATCCCTCTGGGTTAGCAAGGCAATAAATGGTACCCCCCACCCCAACAGTGAAGGATTCTGACTGTGCTGGTGCTCAGACAGAACAGAAATAAGCCCTGGATCATAAAGAACAGCCCGGAAGACACAGCACATTCAGCAGGGTCAGATCTTTACACATCTAGCCACTGTAGTGACCAGTGCAGTAAGCTTAGTTAGTTTTTTTGTTAATCAGTGTGTTTTGCGAACCCAGGGAATTCAATTAGTGTATGATTCAGCATATTGTGCAAATCTAGAAAATGCATTAATTCAGTATCCAGGTTATTCATATTGATGCACAGGCAAGGCAGCCAAGCAACAAGGAATGGTGACCCTGACCCAGAGAGGCAGCCCAAAATGAACCCTGAGTCGGCACAACCGCCTGTACCATAACCCAGTTTTCCATGCTTAGCCTGGCTTTGTGCAGGGCCCCAGCCTCTGGGGAGATCTCTTGGATTTTACCTTGTCTTCACTCAGGCACTATGGTCAGGATTCTGTCATGAACTTGCAATGAGGCCTTAGGCAAGCATTAACCTCTGGCCTGCAAGGTGGGAATAGTACTGGTGTCCCCTAAAGATTGTTTGAAAGAGTTCTCTGAAGGCTTAGGAGTTGCCTTGCGTGCCTCTGGTGGGGCAGTGGCCAACATTAGTCAGAGGGAGCTGCTGAAGTGCTTTGCTTTGCTTCCCTTGGAACTCAGCCGCTGGTTGCGCTCTTAGGTGTGTGCTGCTTTTCTTGAAGGGGCCAACAGCTCCAGCAGTGAAGCCATTCCCTCGCTGGCAGCTCAGTCTGTGGAGGCCTCCCCCGTAATCCATCTAGTGACAGATGCAAAAGGGAATGTTCTCCATGAAGTCCATGTCCAGATGCAGGAGCTCCCGGTCTCTGAAACAAAATCATTAGGACAAGAGGTTAGTGCAATCTGTGTTGGGGGAAACACTGATCTTGTAACACCAGGAGAAATGGTGGTTTCTGGCCTGGTCATTCTGAAGCCAATAATGTAGAAAGCCCATAATAAAGACACACTGTTTTGAGGTTTGCCCTGAGAATGATCTGCAATGTATTTAAAAAATAACCCAGCCAAACAAAACTATTAGAGCTCCAGACCTAAGTTAGGCTTACATTTTGAAGGGATCCTGAAGTCAAAAAGTGTGAGAAATGTTGATCGAAAGAACAAGTTATGGCAGCTTGTGGGATTCTAGGTTAAAGGAAGAAGTTTACAATCATTGTTGCTGCACCCTTATTTTCTTTAGTCATCCAATCTTGAGGAGCTGTCCCCTGACGGGGAGGACGATGAGAACTTGCTGCGAGAAGCCATGAGGAATTCTGGAATTGTGATTGAGCGGGTTTCCATGGAGGAGGGTGCCAAATCAGATGAAAGCGACGCTGCTGCTGAGGATTTAAAGAACAAAGAGGTGGAAGCATCTGAGAAATTTTGTGAAGAGCAGTATGTGGAAATTGAGCACATAGAAGCTGTAAGTTCATCACTGAGCTCTGTTAATTTAAATGCACCCTGCCTGGCTTGCTGTCAAATGTGTCTTTAATGGCCTACGTTGTATTGCAGTACTGCTGAGTACAAGAACAGGACTCTGAGCTTGCTTTAACTTTCTCTTGTAACCTTCATGCAACACTGACTCAAGATTTCTCTCAGTCAAATGTGCAAGTGCTTATGCTGGGCTCCCTCTGTTTCATAGCCAGATCCTGAAGCGACAAATGAATGTAAGCGACACGTGTGCCCTTATTGCAATGAAATCTTCAGGGAACAGAGTAGTCTTGATCTCCATATCAGTGGACATCTAGGTAAGATGACATCCTGCTGGGTCTCATCCAGTTTTCTACAGGCACAGTGCTTCCTTGGATTCCCTAAAGACTGCACCTTTTTTTTGCAAAAGCTGAAGTTAAGATCTTAACAGACATTTTAGGCAGTATGACACACACAACTTCAATAGTAACATTTCTGAGGCACTCTACATCATTTCATAGCTTACATAGAATTACAGAATATAAAGAAAAGGATCTCGAAGATCATCCGGTGTGACCTCCTGCACAGTGCAGTATCCCTGATGGATGGTCCTCAGATTCTCTTTAAACACCTCCAGTGAACGGAGTCTGCCACTTCCCGAAGCAGTCTGTTCAATGGCTGAATAGCTCTTAGAAATAAACTTTCACGGTGTCCAACTGAGATCTACTTTCTTGTAATTTAAACAGATTCTTGTCCTGTCTTCTGAAACAACTGAACAATTCAGCTCTGTTTCTACATGTCAGCTCTTCAGGTATTTGAAGACAGTTATCATGACTCCCTGCAGTTTTGTTTTCTCCAGGGTAAATATACGCAGTGCTTCCAATCATTTTTTCATAAGTTTTTATTTTCAATCTCTTTACCATCTTGCTTGCTGTCTTCTAGATGTGCCCCAGTTTATCAATATCCTTCCTAAAATGTCCAGCTCAGAACTGGATGCAAAACTATTCTAAATGTGGTCTGACTAATGCAGAATAAAGTGGAATGATAAAGTTCTCTTGATCCTTCCACTGTGCTTCTGCTGATGCAGCCAAGGATCACATTTGCTTTGTTTACAGTTGTATCACTCTGTTGGTTCCTATTCAGCTAATGATCCCCCAAGAACTCCAGACCTTTTTCTCATTTCTGCTGTCCCATATAGTCCATCCCATCTCACACCCTTGAAGTTTCCTACCCAGATTGGGGACTTTGCATTTGTTCCTGTTGAAATTCCTATTCCTGGCTTCTGCTCATTATGCCAGTTTGTCCAGATGAGCTTAATGGTCCCCTGCTTTAATACTCAGATGTCTGGGTGATCAGGCTGACCATTTTATACTCCAGAGGGTCAACCAGATGCAGTTTTGCTGGTTTCTCTTGGTGCTTACTTATCTTACTGCTGGGAACAGTTCTAAATTTAGCTGCTGCACGGGAAGGTACAGTCTTTAGGTTTAAGCTAAATGTGTAGTTGTATACTTGGGCTAAACAGTTTTTTTACAATCTGAAGCCAATTCTTCATTCTGGTCTTAGCGATTCGCACCCAGGTTGCAATGCTAGTGATCTCTCACAGTTATTCCAGAGCTAAACGTTTTTTGGGGGGGGGGCTGCCTTTTCCCTCGCATCCTATCACGGGGCTGCTGCCATCACCTGTCACATCGGAGCCCTTGGAAGACCAGAACGCTCCTTTCTTCGCCTCAACGTTTAGCCTACGTGGCCCTTTGTCTGCCTTTCCGCATGTTTGGGAGTCATCAGCCCCCGTCAGACAAATTGTTCCTTTGTCTAGTTGGTTTGTGAGAAGGGCAGGTAGTGCAGTCATGCTTGTTCTGCCAGGCCTTTGTAAACAGGCCCATAAAAACTCATCTTTAAAGTTGATAAAAGTCCTGGGATTTCCATTCTTAAACCTCCCTTCATTTCTCCCTCAGACTACAAATCTTTTACATGTGAGGAGTGTGGCAAAGAATTCACCAAAGGATACTTGCTTAAAAAGCATCAGGAAGTGCACGTGAATGAACGGCGGTTCCGTTGTGGGGAGTGCGGCAAGCTGTACAAGACAATTGCACACGTGAAGGGGCACAGGCGAGTGCATTCGGATGAGCGGCCATATCCTTGCCCCAAATGTGGGAAGAGGTACAAGACCAAGGTAGGAGCTTCATTTCCTGAGGCTAATCGACTGACTCTTTGTGTGTTGGGCCTTAGAAGTTGCTAATCCTGTTCAAACTATCTATCTATCTATCTATCTATCTATCTATCTATCTATCTATCTATCTATCTATCTATCTATCTATCTATCTAATTTATATAGCCACCCGTCTCACACAGAGTGACATATAAGCACAACTGCAGGGGAGGGAAGAGTAGCAGAGACTGGGAGAAGACTAGTGCTATTAATTGACTCAATGAATTCAACTAGATAAGTGTAAAAGAAAGGAATAGAAAAAGCATTGAGAACAGGCCTTGCTCTGCCACTTTGGAAGAGGAGATGGCAAGTCCACGCCTGACCTTTGCAAAAATTCCTGATTGAACTACTGCAGTGTGCTGTACATGAGGCTGCCCATGGAGCATCTGGAATCTGCAGCTAGTTCAGAACGCAGCGGCATGGGCAGTATTGGGTACATTGTGGTACACCTGTGGAACACCACTGCTGGCTCAGCTTCCCAGTAAGCTTCCAAGTGCAATTCAAGGTGCTGGATGTCACCTTTAAAACCCTGCCTGGCATGAGGCCAGGTTACTTGCAGGACTACCTATCCTCAATGGTTTCTGCCCATCCTACTAGATCTGGCAGGGTAGATATGCTCCGGTTGCCTGGTGGGGCCTGGGAAGCGTGCCGTCTCTGCCGTGGGGCCTGCTTTATGGAGCAGCCTCCCCCCAGACCTACGGATGGCCCCGACCCTGTTGGCCTTCAGAGAAGTGGTGAAGACCTAGCTTTTCCCCCAGGGATGTTCATGGAGCCAGTGTGGGGTGGTTGATTGGTTTTTTTGTTTTAATTGGTTTTTTCTTATTCGCTGCCTAGTGTTCCTTCTGGTAGTTGGGCAACTGTCTAAGTTTGTTAAATAAAATGAGTTGTTGGAAAAATCTCTTACTTGGGCTGGGAGATTGTCGAGTGATCCCAAACATCTGGAATACACTATCTGGATCCATTTCAGTCTTGTTTTTAATATAGATATGATAGTCCTGATCAGTTGATTCGTACCGGAAGCAGAAGGGGGAATATTAAATTTCATTAAAACTGTGAATCTCATTAAAACTGACTTCTTTTGGCTATACTTCTATAGTCTGACAAGCAAGTCCCCCTTTCCCCCCCCCAAAAAAATCAGTAAGAAAATTATGGCCATTTTCATGATGTTTTGGGTTTTTTAGACAACCAAGTCTGTCTTTCTATACGGAGAGCTGGTGTGGTCTAGTGGTTAAGGCACCAGGCCAGAAACCAGGAGACCATGACAGGAGACCATGAGTTCTAGTCCTGCCTTAGGCATGAAAGCCAGCTGGGTAACTTTGGGGCAGTCCCTCTCTTAGCCCCCAATGTCAGGCTTGGGTGACAGGCCGGTTGGTCAATTCCTGTCACAACCAACGTTGGTTGGTTTTGGTTGTTCCAAAAAAAAGTGGACCCTGCACCCTTGGGAAAACACTAGGAAGAAAAAAATGTCTGTCTGTCTATACATAAAAACCAAAATGGCGTTCAGATGCCTGTTCCAGCAATTTACATTTGCCCTTGAAAGATGGGAAATTTCTGAACCCAAACTGAATTACATTTTTTTGTGGAGGCTTGAAAGGGCTACTCTAGAATATGAGTTTTGGAAATCGTCTGGAATTCAAGCTGCCTCCATGGTCCTCTTTTCAACAGAATGCTCAGCAGGTTCATTTCCGAACACACCTGGATGAAAAGCCGTATGTCTGCCAGTTCTGCAATCAAGGCTTTCGGGAAAAAGGTTCTTTGGTGCGTCACATCCGTCACCATACAGGCGAGAAGCCATTCAAATGCTACAAATGTGGGCGTGGGTTTGCAGAGCACGGCACCCTCAATCGGCACCTGAGGACCAAAGGTGAGCTGGAGGACAGTTTGCCCAGAGGCGGGTTTACACTCCTCTGTCTGTCCCAGCTTCCAGTACAGAAGCTGTATTTGTTGCATTTCCATCTTTCTGAATCCCCCCGGCCTCTTTCAAATACTACAGAGCTGCTGCTTCAAAGCATTTGAAGCTTTGTTAGTCCTAATGGAAGATAAGTAGCTTTTAAGATGTTGAAAAATTTAGAGCCTTGCACTGTGTTAATGCGGAACAAAACAGAATAAGATTAATTTGCATATAGCAATACCATAAATTTGGTGTGCCTTGGTACTGAATTACTTAAAGGTCCAGACATTTAGGTAAGCAGCTTCTACTTGTTGATGTTGAACTTTTAATTGGGTAAATTCTTCCTGCTGTTCGTTTGATAAATCCTGAACTGTCTTGTCCTCCACCTTCCCCAGGTGGCTGCCTGCTTGCCTTGAAAGAAGCCGAAGAAGCAGTGGTATCAGAGGAGGGTCAGTCAGCTGACCGCTTGGCTGCAACTGTAATTTCTGAAGACCCCCCTACAGTCCTGGTGGAGTTTTCCTCAGTGGTAGCAGATACACAGGAGTACATAATTGAGGTAACCACGTCTCACTGGGGAAGCTTAGAGCCTTTTGTAAGCAATTAATATTCCTGCATTGGAGACCTAATGTGGTGGGCCAAGGACTATGGAGACTCATCATGCACACCACTGGACAGACTAGGAAGCGCATAAGGGATGTGTGTCGTGGGCTGTAGCTGCTGAGAAGGTGGCTGCTAATAGCAGTCCTGAAGTCATTCTAAATGGTTAAGGCTAAATTGTCGCTGTGCATTCTTTCTTAAAGACAGCAGCTGAAGACATGGAAACCAGTGAAGCTGCTGAGATCATAGAAGGAACCAGGCATGAGGTGGGTTGCTCCAAGGATGCTTCTAATGATCATAGCTACTAAAATTTTCAGTGCTGCAAGGAGTGACTCCTTCCCCCAAATGCTGAATCCCCGTGTATCAGGTCATGCATATGCAAGCATGGGATGTAGTCGATTGGGCCCTGCTAGCTCCAGTGAGGGAATCTCTGTATACAATCTCTTCACCCGCCACCCTACTATAGTTCTAGAACTCCTGCCACCAGCCACTTTTCTCCAGAGAAATCCCTTTCTGCTCTGGCTTGCTTCCTTCAGTAGCCAACTGAAGAGTCCACTGGAGTTGGGCAGCCAATACATTTTTAATTAATGATGGTGGTGGTGGTGGTGGTGGTGGTGGTGGTGGTAGTAGTAGTAGTAGTAATAATAATAATAATAATAATAATAATAATAATAATAATATAGAAAGAAGCTAGAAGGCTGTACCCAGGATGAGTGTTGCTGCTTCATTAAGAATTCATTACATGTATCTGGATTGAAGAATTAGAATGGAGTCCAGAGGGGGAAGGAAAAAAGCAAACCGTTGTTCCTGAAGAGGCTAATCACGTCACCCGCCCCTCAGCCCTGGATCTCCCACGGTGCGCACACAGAACAGAGTTTCTGATCCCCAAACTGGATTTCTTTGGGTTGGGGCCTTTCTTACTTGCCTGGCTTTCGGAAGAGGAATTTCATCTCATTCACTTTATTTCAGATTTTCTGGGAGCATCTTTTGGAATATTAATGTTTGGTTGGCACAGTCAGCCAGATGTTTAGACTGGATTTGGCACTTTTATCCACCTATTGAGTCCTTCCCAAGGACCTGTATTATTATTAATACTTAATTGTTATATTATCATATCCTAATAATTAATTATTGGGAAATAGTGAACTGTTTTTGTTCAGAGACCCCTGGTTTCTCCTTTAGTGCAAGGCAAACCTAGTAAGCCAGACCATGAATGTTCTCCAGCTCAGAATGGCCTGTTTAGCTGGCAGCTTTTTCTAGGATCCTGGCAGAAATCCCACTTTGTGTGTGTGTGTGTGTGTTTAACACATAAAAGTGCTTTAACGTAGAAGTGAAAAAACATAACACAAAGAAAAAAATACATCTAACAGTGAACAGTTACAATTCTATATATGCTTACCTAATGCAAATATTATTCAAGTACATATATATTTCTAATAGTTATATGACTATGTTTTTTTCTTTTAACCCAGTGTATTTTGTATAAAAGAGTCCCATGTTTCATTATACTTGTCCGTACAAAGTCTGTGTTTGTAGGCAATCCACTCGTAAGTAGCAAGTGCAATCAGGTCTTCAATCCATTGAATAAATGGGGCCACACATATCCCAATCCTTTGTTGATTAGCTCCCTTTCATTTGAAGATGGTGCTGGGGTTGAGGTAGGGCCCCTTTCCTATTTTTGGGTTGAACAAGTGGGGCTTTTGATAGAGCAGTACTGTATCTTGGGAGCCAGAAACGTACTGTGGGAAATTAAGCCTTCAAAGAGCAATATGCTGTCTACTCCCTGTGGTTGGACCAGTCTTCCTCCACGGTGAGGATGTTAAACTGCATTAAGTAGTAAGATCCAACTCTGCTCGGAAGCGTTGGGTCCTGCTGGTGTGGGGGTAAATGAGGACGTGTGCCTTTCTCCCCCCATGCAGGTGGACAGTCACATAATGAAGGTTGTTCAGCAGATAGTAAACCAAGCCAATTCCGGCCATCAGATAATTGTCCAGAATGTCACCGTGGCGGATGATTCAACCATGACAGCAGATGGTGTGGACACCGACACAATTGCCATAGCGACTCCAGAGAGCCTCACGGAGCAGGTTGCTATGACCCTGGCTTCAGCAATTGGTGAAGGGGCTGTGCTGGCCACGGAGGGCAGCGGGGAGGTTGAGGAAGCAACCGTGACCATGGTGGCATCAGAAGACATTGAAATAATGGAGCACACGGGGGAGTTTGTGATTGCGACCCAAGAGGAGGAGGAGGAGGAACTGGAGGTTCAGACTGTGATCGTCTAAGGCATGAGGGTGCTTCAGGCATCATCTTCACAGGTCAGAAGCCTGGCTGCCCCCAGCTACCAGGATAACGTACAGTTGCTCTAAGAGCCGATTCACAAGCTGCTTCTCGTGAACATGTTAGTCGACATGTTAGCTGAGCTGTTCACCACCTGTTCTGGTCAGGGAGGGTACCTGGCCCTTGTGAACAGTGGTGGCTTGTTGAAACCAGGCAACTGTAAAGCAAAGCACTTTAGAGGAAAAATATTGTGTGCAGGGATCCTTGATTATGTGACAGTGGGAGGTTCCAGGCGGCGGGAGGGGGACCCAGCGGCTTTTCATAGGAGTGTAGATTGCAAGCAGCTCAGGAGGAAGGTCACCCTTAGAAGGCAGAGGCTTCATTAGCACTGCCAGAATGCTCAGAAAGGCCACACTGTACATTTTTGCAACCATGTAGCTTTTAATTATATATTGTCTGGTTTAACTTGTAAATATTTTTTTAAAAAAACAATTTTTTACATTACTGTATTCTGATGTAATTAAAGGAGAGTGCTGAAGGCTTCAAATATATCAGTTATTACTTCTCTCACAGGAATGTCCCCTGGTGCAATCCAGCAGGAAAGGATATTGTACAAGAGGGCAGCTTAGAGGCTTCAAGCAGAAATTTAGCCCTTGTAATTCAAGGATGGGAGGGATCCACCCATAGAATTGACCTCTTAGAGATTTCTAATACCCACATAATGCAGGCCAGGGCTGTATGTAGTTCCAGCTACCTGCAAAACTGGCTGTGGAGTGGACTTCCTGTTAATTTGCAGCAGGAAATGAAATAGGTGTAGGCCTCCAGTCATCTTACCTCACCAAAAAAATGTAGTAGTAGTAGTAGTAGTAGTAGTAGTAGTAGTAACAATAATAATTAATACTATACCACCACCTCCATGGGGCTCTTTAGCAGGAAAACATTAAAAAAGTAGCGCTCAACTCCCACATTGATGAATTCATACTTTTTCTCATTTTCCCCTTCTGGGCACTCATCATTTAGTACATAGTGTAAAAGTTCATTGCATGGGAGATAAGTCTGTAAGGCTGATTTAAGATGTTGAAGCTCTGCTTTGCCAGGTCTTTGGGGCAGGGCAGTCTGTTGGGGCTGTAAGGAGTCACTTCCTTTTCTCTGCAGGACTTGTCAGAGGCTTCATAATTTCTGCTATGTTGGCCCAGACTCCTTTGGAGTAAATATTTTTGTACCCTTCCTGTCTGCTGTATTTCTCTGAGCAAGAGCATGTATATCTTGCTGACTTAAACCACTCATTGCTTGTCTGGTTGGTCAGTACAAGATACAGGATGAAGCAGAAATAGGAGCCCAGTATAACCGACAGGAGGATGACGAAGCCCAGCATGAATACAATCCTAGGAAAGGTCAGGAAAAGATGCTGCGAAGAGAGGGGGAAACAAGTTAACATCCAGATGCATAGGGTCTCCATCTATCCTCCTAGCCCAGACTGGCAGTAATTCTTTCTGGCAAGATCAACTTGCTCACTTGCTAAACCAGAGTTGGAAGAGGCCCCAGTGGTCATGTAGCCCAACCCTCTGCTAAATGTAGGATCTGCTGAAGCATTTTGGACACATGGCTATCTCCTGTGAAGAAACACCACTTCACAAGCTACCTGTTCCATCAGTTGACAGCTCTTATTGTCAGGAAATTCTTCCTAATATCTAACCTGAATCTACTTCCCTCTAGTTTCAACCCACTGATTCTGGTCCTTCCCTCGAGTGATGGCGAACAAGCCCGTTCCCTCCCCTGAACTGATCGCTTTTTAGATTTCTGAAGTCTGTCATTTTTTCCCCTCAGTCTAAGTTTCTGCTGGCTAAATATTCCCAGTTTCCTTAACTGTTTCTCAAAGGACTTGGTTTTCAGTCTCCTGGGAACCCACCTCTAAGCCTCAGTTTGTTAACATGTGCTTTAGAATGCGACGCCTAGAACTCGATAGGCAGTAGTCCAAATGGGGTCTGGCTAAGGCCGAGTACAGGGGAACAATGACTTCTGCCATCTGGACCCTAACCCCGCTAAAACATCCCAAAGTAGCATTTGCCTTTTCGGCAGCACCACATGCTTACCACATTTCAACCTGTGATCTGCTAGAACACCTAGATCGTTTTCACATGTGCTATTGCCAAGTCAGGTCTGCGCCATCATATCTTTAACTTTTTGTCCCCAAATGCAGGGTTTTGTATGTCACTCTTGTCCCACAGGTGAAGCTTGCCTAGATGATCTTGAACCTTTTCTTTTCCACCTCAAATATTAGCCACCCTTCAGACAAGAGAACTCTCTTCCGCTCCAAGTCTTGATAAAGTGGAATGGCCCAGGGTGCTCCCCCAGCACTCTCCTCCAAGCTGACCTGCAACTGTTAATGAGCCCTTTTTGGGAGCCCTCATTCAGCCAATTATGAGTTCATCTAACAGTTGTATCATCCAGCCCTCATTTTATTAATGAGGATATCATAAAAGACTAGGTTGATTGATTGATTGGATTGATTGATTGATTGATTGATTGATTTAGCACATTTATATAGCCGCCCATCTCACAAAAACATGACTTGGAGTGGCATACAGCACGAGTTAAAAACTACAGTCAGGTCCAGAAATATTGGGACATTGACACAATTCTAACATCTTTGGCTCTATACACCACCACAATGGATTTGGAATGAAACA